AGTGAGATAAAAAAGAAGCAGGGGGCAAGCTGAGTGCTATCCCTACCCTTCCCTCCCCCCCACAAAAAGAAAAAGAAAAAAACAACAACAAAAACAGTTTGCTGTATTTACCTTGATGTGCAGCAGTTCTTTTGTGCTCTCTTGGCTGAACTCCACATTGTTTTGTTCTGTACCAAAAGATGTTGCCAATGTTGGAAAAAGACAATTTATATACTCCAAATAGGCAGCACTGCTAATTTGTAGTTCTTGTGGAAAAAAATGCTTAACACCGAGTATAAGTTGATATTAATCTATTTATCTTTGTGCTTAACAAATAATTGTTCATAATGAATGCCTGCTGACAAAAAATATTCTTTCCTGTAAAATGAAATTGCCAAGCACCCTTTCTGATGACCCTATCAGTTGCTTTATGTTTAGGTGCTTGGGATATTGACAGATTCCGTAGTATACTGGAAAACTTTAAACATTGGTAAAGAAAAAGACTTCCTTTCCAAAATAATGTAATTTCCAGTCCTGATATGCAGAAAGAATACCTCATATATCCAGCAGTGTGTTGGGGACAGTGAAGAGAGAGATGTCTGAGACATGAAACATCCTAAGGCAACAGAAGAAGCAAAGGTCTTCAACCTACAAAGCAGAATGATGATAGCAAGGAAGGTGATTCATCTTTACCTGGTCTCAGGATATGGACACAACACAGTTGCTATGGAATAATCTAGCTCAGATATAACTGGGAATATAAAGCCCTCCCTCCCAAAGGTTTAACTCGGGGGTGGGAAATTCTGTTGGGTGGAGGGACACTTACTGAGTTTTGGCAAACCATTGAGAGCCACATGACAGGCAGCTCATGTAGAAATATTAATTTTCCACATTTTTAGGGGCCCTGCAGGCTGGATAGAATGGCCTGGCGGGCCGCATCCAGCCCGCGGGCTGAATTTTGTTCACCCCTGCTTTAACTGCTCTTGGTAAGCATTTACAACGTCACGCCGCTAGGTGGTAACATTAGGATGCAGTTCACTTTTAAGTAAAGACTTACCCCAGGATGAAACTGAATAGAACTGAATTGGTGTACTATGTGGCCAGTACACCAATGTAATTCACTGCAGTGTATACTTACTCATTACTCCTTACTTTTTGAGGGGTAACTTCAACAGTAAAATGACTTATAATACAGTAGTGTAACACGGCTGTGCATCATAAGTCTGCTCCACTTTTCCCCCAGAGTCAAATTTATTCCAGAGTAAATGGAACAAGTTAGGGACTGGCACATGCTTCTAAACTGTATTTGGTCTACTCTGTTCACCCTTGTATAAACATATATTTCAAAACAGCTTCACAAGAGATGGTATTAATACTAGGTTTTCTGTTTATGTGTTTTAAAGAACGTGCATAAAGGTCATACTCTTCCTATGTAACTAAAGAAAATGCAGTTGGGGCAGTTCAAGCAATTGCTATCATGATTTGTACTTGAGAGCAAAAAAGAATATTCAGTCTCTACCAGCATTTTTGAACTAATATGATCTTATTGCATATCCCAAAAAATATGTTTGTGAATGCTTACCTTAAACAAATTGGCTAGCAGAGCTATAAATGAGCATGTATTTGCCTATGCAAATATCTGATTTATATTCACATGTCCTACTGCCAAGTTAATAAGGTTGCTTGATTCCCTTGTTGTGGATTTCTTCCCATTTTTAGAATCCTGTCCCAAAATTCTCTCAAACACCAGTATTTATAGAAAAATGCTGACTATTAATAAAACTGAAGTACAAATGATTTTTTTTCAGCTTAAAAGGAGCTCTACACCTCATGGGATGTTTGCTTAGCAGTGAAGCTGTTTTATGAAGGAATCATGCAGATTTGACTAGAACTTCACTTTAAAAATTTTTTAAACAAAATGGGATTTTTTTGCATATACTAAATAAAATTTAGTGTGATGTCCCTTTGTAATTCAATTTGTGAGAGAGCTTGTTATTTCCTGTTTTCACATGCTTGTACTCTTCTGAACAATTTTGTCTTTAGGCATGCATGTCTTTAGGCGTGCGTGAAATTTACTCATGAGTAGTCTCTTGCTTGAGAGAATGTATTAGATTTTATTTAAAATGTGACGTTGGCTTTTGAGTCTCTTAACCTCTCTCTTCTTGTCGGCACAGAAGCAGTAAAGGATCTTGAAGTCATTATTGATTGATGAACATGGCCAAGATGAACATGGGCCGCTAATGTGAGGACGCAGTCAGGAAGGCTAACCACACCTTGTCATGCATCCACAGATGCATCACAAGCAGGTCCAAGGAGGTGATCCTCCCCCTCTATGCGACACTGGTCAGGCCGCAGTTGGAGTACTGTGTCCAGTTCTGGGCGTCACTTAGGAGGGATGTGTGGACAGCATCAAGAGGGTGCAGAGGAGGGCCACCCGCATGATCGATGCAGCAAGGCAGGCCTTACGAGGGGAGGCTACGGGACCTGAACCTGTTCAGCCTCCACAAAAGAAGGCCGAGAGGGGATCTGGTGGCCATCTACAAACTGGCCAAGGGAGACCAGCAGGCAATGGGAGAGGCCCTGTTCCCCGAGCACTACCTGGAGTAACAAGGAATAATGGCCATAAGTTGACTGAGAGTAGATTCAGGCTAGATATCAGGAGGCACTACTTCACAGTCAGGGTGGCTAGGATCTGGAGCCAACTTCCCAGGGAAGTGGTGCTCGCTCCTACCCTGGGGGTCTTCCAAAGGAGGCTAGATAAGCACCTAGCCAGGGTCGCTTGACCACAGCGTTCTTTCCTGCCTATGGCAGGGGGTCGGACTTGATGATCTGCTCAGGTCCTTTACGACCCTACCAACTATGAAGCTATGAATCTATTAATCTAAAACTTTTTGGGATGGTTTGATTGACTACTGATTATTACAGGCACGTGCTAGCTAGACACATTACTTCTGCATTCCCAGGCTATCCACTGTATGATTTGAAGGCTTCAGAATATTTCTAAAGTGTTCATATCTTTCAGTTGTCTCGGTTCATTGTTGTTGCTAAGAAGAAAACCTATTGTATGTAAATTCTCATAGAGCATCCTATAATGATCCATTCTACAACTAGATTTGTAGCATAGATTACTTTTCCTTATAAATACGATTGAAATGATTCATCTGTGTTTTAAGCTTGATGCTGATTCAGCTCCTGTTAAAGTCGATCCTAATCATTCCATTGATTGCAACAGGAATTAGATCCCTAAAAACACCATTCCTAATTATGGAACTAGGGCTGGAGTCTCCAAGTGCTTTTTCCAGCAGTTAATGCTACCACCACCCCCATCTGCTTATCTTTGTGAAAGCTCTCTGTGTTGGGGGTAACACCCTTCATTTTCTACACGTAGGCATTGGGCATTCAAGTAAACACATGTAGAGCAGTATATTGCACTTTTTGTTTCTATTTGCTGTTAACAACTTGGGATAGTCTCTTTTCAGTAATCATTTACTTCAGTAGTTACATTTATCTTTTGCATATCTGACTCAAAGAACTGTCTGGAGTTTTTCTATTCAGGGCACCCGATTAGCACTATTTAATGCATATGGCTATTAATGCGATTCTGATCCTGAAGCCCGATTAATTAGCCAAATAGTTAACTATCCAAAGTTGAATCAAGAAGTTAAAAAAATTGACCAAATGTTTGACCAAACATACTTTTTAATGGCACATATGTGTTGTATTGCATGGCCAAAGCAGGTTAGAGCCAATAATTAATCTTTCTAGTGCCCCTGTGAGACTTGATTTCCTGAGCTAAAAATTTTAGAGGTAGAATAACATGGTTGATGTTTCAGAGAGTCAGTGGCTGACCAAAAAAAGCACTCCTCTTTTAACAGTTTGGCTGTGCCCTAGCTACTAAATGTGCTGCCTACATGAACAAATATGGTAGGTTTGTTGTTTTTTTTAAATATCACACTGAATGTTAACCACGCAGGTACATAGTTGGAATACATTTCCTCTGAGGTTGACTAAGTTCTGTGGGACATTCCTAGGTGATTAAAGCAAATTTAGAGCCTAATCCTTACCCAACTTTCCCCCTTTCTTCCCCCCCCACAAATACCCTCCAAAATCTCTTTTGGAGTAGAACTAAGTTCCAGGTGAGCAAGGAATGTAAAATCATTCCTTTATTTGTCCGACTCTGTGAGATGCATTGTTTTAATGCCTGTTTGCCCTGAACCCACAGCCAGTGCGTATCCCTTGGTTAGGAATCCAGCTGCAGGGCCCTGACCTGCCCTTCAGTTGCCCATGTGAACAGACTCCAGGCTTTTTGGTGACTCAGGACAAGCGCATGACTGACCCCGAGGTTGGCTGGGGAAGCCGGTACCTCTCTGGAGGAGTCGGTCCCTGATGGGCCACCCAGGCTTGCCTGCTGCTGAGGCCAGCAAACTATCTCTGTATGGAAAACATGCACAGGATGACCAAGCTCTTGCAGCCAAAGCAGGTTGCAATAAATGCATTTTGTAGCCTTGTCTTTTTAAGGAGAGATGGGCAGGGCTTCCTCCTCTCCCACTGCACCAAAGCCTCTTGTGTTCTCTTAACTGGTGGCACGTGTGTCATAAGTCACACGGCAACCTGTATATGTGGCTGGTAGTAGACTGAGGAGTGGGCAGGGCTAACATGGCACTCCCCTCTGCAGCAGGCGCTCACTTCGGCGCACGCGCAGGAGGTGCTGCCCTGGGCCCCCCCCCCTACAGCAGAAACCCGTACCACAGCTTACCTCCTCCCACCCCTGCGCATGCGCCTTGAGGCGGGTGTCAGCCCCCCACAGCAAGGCACGAGCCGCTGGGGTCTCGCGTTGCGCTGAGAGGGGAGGTGACCGGAAGGAACGCACCGGTGCTTAGCAACGGCCGGCGGAGTAGAGCGGCCATTGGTCCCCCGCTTCCATCCAATCGCCAGGCAGAACCGGCTGGGGGAGATGACGTTTGCCGAACGCACTGCGCAGTCACGCCTTGCGCAGTGCCTTGACGTCGGCGGTGCCTATGGCAGAGGGCAGAGGACGGGGCTGAGGCGCGGGGGGAGGAGATGGCCTCCTCGGTGGTCAGAGCCACGGTCCGTGCCGTGAGCAAAAGGAAGATCCAGGCCACCCGCGCCGCCCTCACGCTGGTCAGTGCCGAGGCGGGAGGCAGGGAGCGGGCTGGCGAAGCAGCAAGCTCCCGGTTTGGTTGCAGTAAACGGGGGCCGGGCGGACGGGGGCGTTCTGCGCATGCGCCGCGGGCTCGTGTTCGGGCTCGCGACTGGCCGTTAACGGTCGCGCGCGGTTTGTTCCTCCTTGCCCGCCCCCCACCGCTGCCTTTGTGTTGTCCGCGCCGCTTCCCCGCCTCGCAGCGGCGGTCGCCGGCGCAGGCCCGGGCGCTGCTTAGCGTAGGTGACAGCGGGAGGAGCTGTGAAGGAGAAGCTGGAAACAGAAAGAAGGGTCCTAACAGCAGCTGCGCGTCTGCCCGGTCCAGCAGGGACAGTCTGGGTTTGGGTTAGGACCTGCCTCTGCCCTCTTGTGTTTAGTCAGGTGACAGAAGCTGCGGACTGGCTGTCAGAAGGAACCAGAAGGGTCTTTTTTGGATAATCTTTTTTTATTGGACCAGCTGCATGATTGGTCCAGGCTCATGAGGCCAGGGACAGGCATTCAGTGTATGTACAGACTTTTTTTGGCTGTGTTGACGCATTCAAATAATCGGGGAGACTTCTAAGTTTTTGTTTTGATAGACACCCAGCTCAGCCTCCTGCAGGTGCTCCTAGTTTCTCCTGGGAGAGTTGCTGCTGCTCTCCCAAGAGAAGTCGCCAGCATACAGATGTTGGAGTTTTTTCATTTGCAGTAAAAATGGCGGCTCCAGGTGAAAGGTAACCTGGGAACAACCAGGGTTAAATCACTCCCGGTGTTGAAGATGCTGACAATACAGGCTGACTGGGCAGTCTGGGGTAGCCAATCAGGGCTGACCTATGCACTGCTGCCCTCTGTTACCAGGCTGGCTAAGGGAGCCTGCCAAGCATGCTGAGGAGATCTGCACAGGGTCGTTCTCCCTCCCCCTTCACTGTGGCTGCAGTGTCAGCATTACAAGCTCTCGCTCTTCAGGGTCTCAGCATTGTCATTTTCCCAGCAAGTCCCCAAGAGAAACCTCCATTGTACAGATGTTAGGGCTTTTTCTCCCAGAGTAAAAATGACCTTTCACAAAAAAAAATAACCCCACAAAGGACCAAGGTTAAATTGCTCCCAGGAGACTTTCTCCTGCAAGACAGTATGTCTAGACCTGTTTTCCAACAAGCTTTCAAATGCAGTACAGCCTTCCAATCCTGAAGAAATCAGCCACAAAAATCCTTGCCTTTCACACATTTCCTGTACTGTCAAAGCTGTATCACTCCAGCACTACCTAAAACAAATGTGATTTTTTTTTTTTAAATGACATGCTTAATTTGTTAGATATTCACATGATACTGTGGAAGCCACTTGATCATTATATTTGTGGTTGGATATTTGGAGATTGGAAAGGAAAACTGTTCAGATCTGAAGCCCTGCCTCTCCAGCAAAGAGGAAATGCTGAGCTAAGGCATGCCAAAAGAGGAGCAGAATTGCTGGTGCTTTTAAAACCTAACTTTAAATTGCTTCATGTCCTAGCATTTTTAAATTTCAGCCACAGCAGTGCCTATAAGGAAAAATGAGTGCACGATATAATAAACATTTCAAATTTCAAAATGTTTTAAATTACCACATTTAGAATATAAACTAATGGTGCTTCAGCTTTGGGCCTAAGCTGACTTATAGTAGAGGTCAAAAAGACCTACTAGGTGAATCCTTGATAAATAATTCAGCTGGAAAATTTACCCTAATAACTGCTAGTACTTAGAGCAGGGGCGGGCAATTATTTTGGGTGAAGGGCTGCTTGCAGAGTTTTGGCAAGCCATTGAGGGCCGCATGGGTAGCCTTGCCCTTTGATAGGGGCCCTGCCCCCTGGTTGCTATTCTGGGGCTGGAAGTTCCGCCCTCTAATCTCTGACCTTTGCCACCAGAAGTCCCTCCCCTTGTCCCCTGAAAGTACTCTTTTCAGCAAGGGGGGTTTGCTATCAGAACCAGAAAAATACCAAATTATATTCTAAAAATCAAATGTGTACTACAACATTCCTTAATTTCATTTCAAAAAATATTTTTGTCCTGATTTACATGCGAGTGTGTGTATGTGTAGTGTACATACAGGTGATAGTATCATAGCTTAAAATGAGATCTTATTCTTGTATATTGTGGGTGGGTGGGTGTCAGTTTTGTGGGGGTCTGTGTGTGGGGAGGGTGGCTGGGGAGGGTTGTTTCTTGGGTGGAAGGGGAGGGTTTCCCACAGCCCCCTCTGTGGTAGGCAGAGCCCTGGGCGCTGCACTCCTCCCACTCCTGGCCTCAGGTCACTGGCGCAGCCCCATGCTTCTTCTGCCACTTGCTCCATAGAGCCCCAGACAGCCCCTGCCCCGCACTCCTGCCAGCCTGCTTTGGGTCCTGCCGGCGCTAGCCCTGGTGCACTGGCACACCGGCATGGGTCACACACTCCCACCTGGCTGTTGTTGCACTCTGTGAGCCTGCTCACTGCCCCTTCCCCTCTGCCCGCCGCAGCCATTTCCCCACTCCTCCTCCACTGGCCAGCCAGCACAACATTAGCACCAGGGACGACAGGAGCAGCTGATGGTGCGTGGGCTTGCAGGAGTGGTGGCAGAGGATCTGCCTGCTGTGGGAGGAGGGGAGGGGCAGGCTCTGGGCAAACTCTGCCTCTATCCAAGTCTGGCTTCCCCGTCTCCCTCCAGGGAGCCCAACTCCATAGAGCCTTGGCAGCCCTGCCTCCCTGCTCTGGGGCACCAGCATAGGCACCGTGCTCCTGTCTGGCTGTCACTGGCTCCCATGCCCCCGCTCACCTCAGTCCCCCCGCCTCAGCCCCGTGGTACAGGCAAGGTGAGTGTACACAGCCCTGACCCCGCGCTCGCCCGTCTGGGCTGAGTGGCAGGGGCGCAGAATAAACTGGTGCTCAGCACGGGAGAAAAGCCGCTCCTCCCCCACCTAATGGCTAGCGCTTCCTGGTGCAGCCACCTGAGTCTGTCCTGTATCTCTGCCGTGTCACCACTGCCAGCAGAGAGCAGGGACAGGCAGCCCCATGTGGGCTGTGAGCAGCTGCAGCATGGAGGACCAGTGGGGGGAGGAGGAGGTGCTGCTTTTCTCCCACACTGAGCACCATTTTGTCCTGCACCAGCTCCAGGCTCACAGCTGGGCATGAGCTGCTGCTTGTGGCGGAGGAAAGCAGCCTCCCCTCGCCACACTGGGCAGCTCACAAGTGGCAGTGAAGGATCTGCATCACAACCAAACTCTCCTGGAAGCCACACCAAACACTGCCTGGCGGCAACGAGGGAAAACCTCCTTCATCCGCCACAAGCAGCAGCTTGCGCCTAGCTGTTGATGCTGAGAGCCCGGAGCCGGTGCGGGGCCCAGGCTGAGCAGTAGCAGTGTGGGACAAACTGGTGCTGAGCGCAACAGAAAAGCAGCACTTCCCTCTCCCGCCACCAGTGCTCTGTGCTGCAGCCACTCTCAGCCCACATGGAGCTGCCTGTGCCTGCTCCCCGCTGGCAGCGGTGACACAGCAGAGACACAGGACAACCCTGGGCGGCTGGACCAGGAAGTGCTGGCCACAGGGAAGGGGAGGGATCGCTATTCTCTCGTGATGAGCACCAGTTTGTTCCGTGCCCCCGCCACTCAGATGGGCGAGCATGGGGTCACAGGTGCGACAAGCACACGCAGCCCTACTGCGGGGCTGGAACAAGGGGACTGGGAGCAAGTGGGTGTGCAGGAACCAGCAATAGCCAGGCAGGATTGTGGGGGCCCAGCTGGCAGGGGCTCTATGGAGCCGGACCAGCTGCTTCTTCTCCCTGCTGGTGCAGCCAAGCCCAACTCTGTAGACCCCTGCCAGCCCACACTCCTGCCACTCCACTCTGGACCCTGCTGGCACAGGCCCCGGGATACAACATGGGCCCCGCGCTCCTGCACAGCCGCTCACTTCCACTCCCATGCTCCTGGTTTCTCCTCTTTATAGATTTCATAGACATTAGGGCTGGAAGGGACCTCGGAAGATCATGGAGTCCAGCCCCCTGCCCTAAGGGCAGGAAGTCAGCTGGGTTCATAGGATCCCAGCAAGATGAGCATCCAGTTTGCTCTTGAAGGTGTTCAATGTAGACGCTTGAACCACCTCCGGTGGCAGGCTGTTCCAGACCTTGGGGGCTTGGACAGTAAAGAAATTCTTCCTTATGTCCAGCCTGAAACGGGCTTGTAGTAGTTTATGACCATTCGACCTAGTCGTCATCCCT